ATATGTAATCACATTTTTATTTAGGCCAAACTATAATTTAATTTATAAGAAAAAAACCTCTATATAAGCACAACCCCATATAAGCACATTTTGAAAAAAAGTTACTATGTGCCCAACTGTGTGATTGTATGGGAGGACGACTGTAACAAATAAAGTTAGATTATTATTATACATACAGTATACATATGTACGTATAAAATTTCTAGATTTGCGCCACATAGTATATAACAGAATATAAATAAATATAATCTTACTTGCTAATCCACATTTTTGTATCTTCTTTCATCCGTTCTGCCCCAAATAAAAGAAACATGCCTTATTTATAACTCCAGGAAATATAAACCGTGATGTATTTATTGAAGTGACTTCAAAATCGGTGATGATTCTAGAAGGATAGAGATCAATTTTATTCTCTTTGGCAAAGTCAATCAAGCTTTCAAACAACCAGTTATATTGTTCTTCAGATTTATGTGACATTAATGCATGCACGAGTGGGAGAATTCAGGAATTATTTGCAGCACCAATGGGTGCATGAATCGAATATAATTGACGAAAGATCATAGGCACTGTATCGAACATCCCGTCCATGATCCAAAATGGAGCATGAGATAAGTATCAAATATTTTCTAACGTAGTAAAAACGAGAATTCGACTTTGACCAACTAATTGGTCATTAACTAAGAAAAGTTTGTCATTCAATATATTTTTAAGATTATCTGGTACATCGAATTCGGCAATGTTTTGTGGTTAAGGTGGTAATCCTGCATGTCTTACATGTTGAATTTTTCTATGACAAGCGTTTGTTGAAGAAAGATATAGTCTAATTGCTTCAGGTGTATTAATAATATTTTCCTGTATTATTTTAGAAGGCGTTTCTCGTGCTTGGCGCTTAATTTCAGAAGAAAACTTTGCGACTTCAGCATTATGTGATTCAGGTGCATGAAATTCATGAATAGTAAATTGTTTAAGGTAATATATATTGTTATATAGTTGTGTGACTGCTCGACCCTTGCACCTGTTCTTTTTTTTATCACAAGCCCAGTAATAATTATTCTTACAGCAGAATTCCAGTGTCATCAAGTAGTCGTGAACATTTATTTTAGTACCACCTTTTTGCGATAGTACAGTTTCGCAAATTTCATTCATTAGAAAAATAGGAAAATAAAAAATAAAAAACTAGGAAGACGAAAAAAAAAAATAGAAAAATAGAAAAAAAAGGCTTTACGATTAGGTTATGATTAATACTGTATTTATGAATAGGATTTTTACAAATGGAATGAAGAAGTTACGATCAAGAAATTGAAAGTTTAATCATATACATATAAGATATTTATAATCAAAAAAAAATTAGCCATTATTATAATAATTTGTTAAAGTAAAATAAATTAATTATTTAATATACGTACTATGAAATCATTAAATTAATAGTGAAATTTAAACTTACGGTGTCAAAATATTAAATAATTTCACGACTTCTCTTATTATCTGTCATTAAAGGTCTTAATTTTTTATTATTGCTGGTACTGCATAATAAATAATT